TTTTCTGTGTTTTATCTGGACTCTGGGGTTTGAGGGACTCCGGTTCAGTCCCCCCCTCTCTCTCCGGCTCTAGGTTTGGGTCATAACTTTTCCCCCTGCCTCTGCCCCTTCAGTTTCTGAGTGGACCGGTCGGTGGTGGCTTTGGAAGTGCCACCCAGTCTCTCTCTCCACTCCCGGCTGACTCCTCGCCATGTCCGCTCCTGGTAAGGCGCCGCTCACACACCTGCCTGGAAACGCTCGGGAGGAGAGCGACACTCGTGATCAGTCGTTCTCATGAGCTCGTGTCGTAATAAGGTGTGGGGGTATTGTGAGTGTTTTGATTGTGAAACGATCAGGGTTTTTTTCCTCCTACTTGCTTCATTTTGAATCTTTACTGGAAATGATGAATGAGCTGCTTGTCCTGGCTCCACTTTGCCTCTGTGGCCCTGGGAAACTTAAATGCGGTGAAACCTGAGGTCCCCCCCGGAGTCTTTCTGGACTCTTTGTGAGCGGGAAAGAGTCGGATTGGGAGGAGAAAGATCTGCGAGCGCTCAGGTGATCTTGTTGGTTTGTTTGCAGCCCGGCTCACTTCGTTAAGCTTTGGTAAGAATAACACTGGAGCCAGGAGGGGTTTTGTTTAACATGAATTCATCTGTCAAACTTCATGTTCGCGCTCTTGTGACCTTTCAACACGCTCCCCGTGGAACAGAAAAAACCAGTCTGGTTAGTTTGAAGCTTATTGTTAATGACCACTTGTTTCAATCTGAATCATCTGGTTGTTGTTGAAACCGTTTTCTGTGAGTGAATAGAGGGACTGTTGAGGCTCTAAATGGACCCTGGGCGTGAGGATGCGTGGTTAGGTGTCTCTGCGTGCCCCTGGGACAGTCAACCTGGGAGCGGCTCCAGCCACCCGTGACCCTATATTAACTTAAGCAGGTGTAAAAAAATGCATGAATGGTTCCTTCTTTCTCTTAAACCAAACTGGGCTTACCGTAGTTCAAAAATGGGGAAGCAGGAAATCCAATTTCAGGGGTTTTAAACTCATATCAAATTGAATTATTACGCAACCGGGGGCCGTGAATCTAAAGGACAGATGTGGGGCTTTTCACGCAGTTAAGTAGAAAAAAGGTCAAAGAGGAAAGTATTAATCACAAGAATCATTAAAAAAAAGGAGCCTCGCAGTCTGAGGAAGGAAGCTGCTCCCTGTGCTGGCGGGGCAGCCGGTGGCCCTCCTACCGACAGGAGGCTCGAGTCGGGATCTCAGAAGGTTCGGTTCAGCTCAACAGCGCGTCCCGTCTTCTGGTTCCAGTGTTATTGTGGGGTTGTTCCAGCTAGAATAGCCTTTAATCCCCCCTTTGTTAGAGCTTTGTTCAGGCTGGATATCACATCTCAAAGCCTCAAGTCCTCACAGGGCACATGCAGCTCGGGCTGGTGTGTTTGTTCCCTTCAGGGTTTTTGGCTCTTGTGGTTTCCTGCTGATTTTTGGATCCTCTCATTCTGACTGCCTGTGAACCAGTTGATTCACATATTG